TGGCGGCGTTGCTGGGTGCCGTGGCGGCGTTGCTGGGTGCCGCGGCGGCGTTGCTGGGTGCCGTGACGGCGTTGCTGGGTGCCGTGGCGGCGTTGCTGGGTGCCGTGGCGGCGTTGCTGGGTGCCGTGACGGCGTTGCTGGGTGCCGTGACGGCGTTGCTGGGTGCCGTGGCGGCGTTGCTGGGTGTCTCGTGGCCGCCGTCCGAGCCCGCCGCAGTTTGGGGGTCTGCGCCATTTTCCTTGGCGGCAGCGTTTGGCGTCTCGCTGGTGGGCGCGGCAGAAGCAGACGGCACGCCGCCAACGTTCTCTGGCGCGTGCGACGGAGGGGTCTGCTGCGCCTGGCCGTCATCCATGGGCCCACTCTGCACAGACGCGTCACCCACCGGGCCCGCCGTGACTGCATCGTCTGCGGGAGGCGAGGACCCTCGTTGCTGCCCAGAGGGCTCCGCACCGACGGCCTGCCCAGTCCCAGTTCCTTCACGTCCAGTGCCCGCACCCTGCTCTGGGGACGATGACGGCGCCGACTCCTCACTGCCACTGGCCGCCCCGTGCGCATCCACCTCCTCTTTGGACTCTTCGGCCGCGTTGGAGTTACCGGAGCCCCCGGAAGGTGACGGGGTGCCTCGCTGCTGCCCTGCAGAGGCGGCGGGGCCCTTCGCAGGCGCTGCGAGCTCCGCTTCGCTCAGCGGGCGGTTGTACAAAAAGACGTTCGTCACCGTCACACTGCCACCGCCTCTGTCCGTGCCGCCAGCTTCGTCTCCAAAGTACAAGTACGAGATTTCGTAATTCCGTGCCTCGGGTGTTGGCAGCGCGTCGGAGCTCCCCACGAGCTCGCCGTCCACGTACACGGAGCCCCTGCTGCCCTGCAGCACAAGCGCCACTTGGTACTCCTTCCCCAGCTCCCAATTGCTGTTGGGTGCGGTTGCCGTGCCGTTTAAGACCGTCTCCCACTTCATCTCCGCAGTGTACGCCAGCCCCACGAACTTCGTGCTGCCATAGTCCTCCAGACTCGCACCCAGCAGAGGCGCGCTCCCTTTCGGAGCCTGATGGATGGTCACCGTCGCCACAAGCGTGAACGCGTAATTCACAAAGCCGTACACGTGACCATAGTCCCACATGTTCACGGGCCAAAAGGCGTAGGACTCGGGTCCAGTGAACTCAAAGCCATTGTCGACCTTCTTTCCATTCGTCACAACTGCGTTCAGGCAGCGGTACGCGTCGTCCCACGCTGCATCACTCGACGCATTGGACAGGAATCCAACCAGGCCGGCCGTGGGCACAGACGACTCGGAGAAGGCGGAGTCCAGCTTTGCCCAAGTGCCCAAGACGGACGTGATTGTCCCCAGCTCCTCCGTCAGGGGGGACAAAAACAGGCCCGCGGTCGTCCTGTTGCCCCTCTCCTGCAAAAAGTGCAGTTTGTCGTTCGAGTACAGCAGGGCGCTGGAGAGCGGAGTATTTCCAGCAGCGTCGGTGGAAATGGGCCCGACGCGAAACGTGCGGTTGTTGTCGGTGGCCCAAAGGAAGAGCGCCTTTGCCTTCGCCTCCGCCACCAGCGCCTCCCCGAGTGGGTAGTCTTTCTGGGTGTACAGCATGACCCTCGTTCCAGCAATCGTCGCGGTGGTGAGGACGTCACACGCCGAGGCCGTTGCAGAGGTTTGCTTC